TAATGGGCCTACTTTTGGACTTTCTGTCAACACAGGGCTTCAGACAATAGGCCCAACAAGATCATGGGTCAAGTCTGGTTTTGGACAGCCCATTAACTGAGTTATTAGGATAGGATCCAACCCGAAAAATTGGGAATCGGCCTATTAGTTGATCTGTTCTAGTTCACTTATGGCATCATAGTTGATCGGCTCATTAGTTTGTTCGATCCATTAACATATGCTTAAATTTTTTTTTTTTATTTTTTTAAATATATTATATTTAATTTTCTATAAAACGTATATCTAATACATCTGTAAAATTTGGAGAAGATCATTGTACATAATCCTAACTTTAAATATTCAAATATAATATTTTTATGACTCAAATAGCAATCGAGCAATCTTATAATTGTCTCGAGGCCTATTAGGTTTGATTGATCACTTCTCTATTCGAGAATATGTTAACATATAGAGACCTTTGACTAATGAATCATCTCGGTTGATTCAATGCCAAAAGTGTGGGTCTCTTCTTATGACTCCTCTTGGCAAATGTGGCGAGTAGGCATTGCAGGAAGGATGAAGGAATTTGTAGGGAGAGGACGTTCGCCGGGAGTAGCCTTGTATTCGAGCGACGATGCTTAGTTTCAAAGTGGGGTGGTCCCCTCTATTGGGTAGCCTCCTAACCGTGCTTCCGGGCGACGTCGACAATCATGTACAATAGGCCCACACCGAGGACATTCTAGCTCGACCCCTCCGCTGCTTAAGTTAAAAAAACGAAGAGGAAGGTTAATAATGTAAGTAAAAGAGTAAAGAGCTCTTGCCCATTTGCCCCTATTTGGCCTAGGGTTCAACTTTTATACTTGAGCACCTGGCGGTATGGACAGGTGCTCGTGAAGGTCCTCTCCCTTACCTTGCATGGTGGAGGCATTTAATAAGGATGACTTGCTAGCATATACCCTAGGGGCTTCGCTTAGGGTGGACTATCGGGGTGGCTCCTCCGGTCTGACCCCCTTGCTCTTTTGGGTTAAGCAAGGTGTGGTCCCTCTCCCAATCATTCAAAAGGGAAGGCTCATCAAGGTGTGGTCCCCTTCTCGATTATGGTGCTAGGATAAGGTCTTATGGACCCACTTTGGGATGCCAGGACAAGCATTGTGACCTCCTACTGGTGGTTGTGGGGAGCAGGGAGCAGCTGGCTGATGTGGTGGGGAGGGAGCTAGTAGTGCTAGGATTATCCCTATCATTCATCACTTCCTCGAAACGACATTCTTTGAAGCTTCAAATGGAGGCCTCGAAGGATGTTGTTTTTCCTGTATCCCTATGTGTTTACACGAGTGTTGTTTTGGCGACTAGTTTATTGCTAAGGCTGCGATGGCTGACGGGAGATTTAGTAGGGTGGACTATACTCTCTTGCTGGGGTGATCTCTGGTTTATCGGTAGACATATGCTATCCTAAGGGACCCTATCTTCTTTCTCCCTCTCTATCTTTGTTCTCCCTCTCTTTTTTTTATCTCCCCCTTTTTCTTCAGGAGGTTTTCTTCTCTGTTTTTGCCTCCCCCTTCCACACGGGAAGTTGGGTCTTCTTTTGGGCCTGCCCCTTCTTTCACTTCTGAGGGCAGGTACTCGACTGCTTGGGCAAGAGTGTAGCTCTGAAATAGTAAGTGTTGGCTCGATCGCATAAGTGGGAAGATTGGTATCAATCCATCGTAGCGGCTTTCATCGTAATGGGTCTTGATTCGACTGTCGTGGGCGGGAGTATCAGTATCAGTCTTTTGTAGCAGCTTCCACCAAAGCGGGTCTTGATTCGACCACCATGGTGGGAGTATCGGTATCAGTCCACCGTAGCAGGTCTTGATTCGACTATCGTGGGCTAGAGTATCGATATAAGTCTATCGTAGTGGGTCCTAATTCGACCGCTGTGGGTGAGAGTATCAATATCAATCCATCATAGCGGGTCTTGATTCAACCGTTGTGGGCAGGAGAAGGGACCTGTCATGGCAGGTCTTGGCTCGACCATATCAACGAGAGAAGGGACTCATTATAGCAAGTATTAGCTCAATCGCATCAACGCGAGGAAGGACCTACCATGGTAGGTTTTGGCTCGATCGCATGAGCAGGAGGAAGGGACCCATCATGGCAAGTCTTGGCTCGACCGCATGAGCAAGAGAAGGGACCCATCATGGCAGGTCTTGGCTCAACCGCATCAACGGAAGAAAGGACCCATCGTGGTGGGTCATAGCTTGATCGCATCAGCAAGGACCTATCATGGTGGGTCTTGGCTCAATTGCATCAGTGAGAGGGACCCGTTGTGGCGGGTCTTGGCTCGACCATATCAGCAAGAGAAGGGACCTGTCATGGCGGGTCTTGGCTCAACAACGTCAGCGAGAGGAAGAGACCCGTCATGCCAGTTTTTGGCTCTATAGCATGAGCGAGAGGAAGGGACCCATCGTGGTGGGTCTTGGCTCGACCACATGAGCAAAAGAAGAGATCCATCGTGGCAGGTCTTAGCTTAACCACGTCAGTGGGAGTAGGGACTCATTATGGCGGGTCTTCGCTTGACCACGTGGGCAAGAGAAGGGACCTATCATGGCGGATCTTGGCTCGATCGCGTGGGTGGAACAAGATACCCATCATGGTGGGTCTTGGCTCGACCATGTCAGCGGGAGGAATGAACCCACTATAGTGGGTGGCTAATAGCTGTGGGTGATGCTACGATGAGTGGTGCTATTGCTGTCAGGGCGCCTCGCCCATGGTGCACATTGAGTTGCAACACGCCTTCTCATCCTTGGGATTTATATCACCTATGACTTTTAATTATAGAGGGATCTTCGACTGCATTGAGGTCTGATCTACTTAGGGAGTTGTGCCCCTTTTTCAAGCCTTACTATCATGCAGTGATTAGAGGCACATCTTCCATGGCGATCGCATCTTGTTGGACTTCACATCATCCCCATATAGATTTGTACAAGCATTGCCTTATAGAAGATGAGTTATTTCTAGCATCCGCAGAGTTTATTCTAAGGTCTTTATATGGTTGTGCTTCATCTTGGTATCACCAGCTTTCAAAGCTTTGCTTTGTTGCTATCTGTTAAGACTCTTCATGCCCTCTTTGTTGGTTGATATGGATCATTATAGCCCACGGGAGGGTGTCCCTCCATTCCTAGAGCTGTCGAGCTCATGAGAGGCGATTTAGAGAATCCCAATGAGGGTTGACCCAAAGCCATCTATGGGATCTTCCACCGAACCGATCCCATCATAGCGGTCGGCTCTTTCAATAGGTGGGGACATCCCATTGTGAGTCCACCGAAGGCCCAAGTGCACTACAAGAAATGTTCCAGGACTAGGTGGCCCTTCTCCACTAGAGGAGGGCATGGAGAGCTGCTCCCTCCCGATGGAGGTAGGCTTAGAACTTCCAACGTGTCCCGGCCCATCACAGCGATTGAGACACAGGCCCCTCTGCCAACTGTGTTCCTAAATCCCCCCTCCCCTTGGTGATTACATGTTCTTTGAGATGACCAACTATCCTCTTGTGACCCCCGAGGCTCTCCTACAAACCAGGTGGGAGGGTTTGACGTAGGACACGAAGCTGTGGGAGAGCAGAGTGGTCATGAACGAGTATTATCGCGGGTCACTTAGCCTAGTTCTAAGCAAGCTGATATACCAGACATCCACCAAGTCTCTAGTTGATCAGTGTTACCACTACGAGGTTCTACTAAGGACCTAGGATTCTTGATCTTTTTGTCTTCTCAAAACTAATTCTGCTTTTCTTGGTAGCACTACCACTACGTCATAGGCTTGCCCGATTGAGTATGCGATATGGGGATGCCAATGAGCCAGTTATCCCAAGCGAAGGTAAGCCTCGCGACGAGGGTGGTGGAGCTAGAGAGGGGCTCCACAGCAGTTGAGGCCTAGGCCATGAAAACAGTTGGCATGTTGGGAAAGGCCCGGCAACAATTTGAAGAGTCCAGGGGGCACATGGTGAAGGCTAAGTGGCACTTGGGAAACCTGCACTACTACTTGGAGGAGGCCCTAGAGTTGCTAGTGATATGTGCCCTACAAGCCAATCACGTGAGTGATGGCACATATGATACGCTATATAATCTCTTTTGGTTATTATTATTATAGTATTTTTTTCCTTTATATTGGATGATGAATATATATTATGATGTCCTTGGATCTATGCAATAGGAATTGGATCATAATGAGATCATGATAATGAGACCAATTTGCCTTTAAACATAGATCCTAAATATTCCCGATCATAGGTTACTTGAGAGAGACATCAAGATAATCGAATAGACCAGTGTGCTATATATTCATCCATATGATTGAGGCAGCTGGTTTCATAGCTGCTTATGTGGGAACACTAAAGATATAGTGCAGGTGCTCATTAGAGAATGAGTTAACTGAATGATCTGCTTACGAAACGCTAGATGGGTACTGATACCTCATCGTCAAACAACGATTTTATTGTCCCAGTTATGTATCTGGTCCTTAGATTTAAGATACTAAGGATTCCTTGTTTGAGTAT